GAACAACGTTGTGTGAGTGAGGACCAAAACCTGCTAAGATGATGTGCTCCACGGTCTTCTGATTCACACCTGCGGAGCTCCGTGGCGGTTTAAATACCGTAGATCGTACTCCCATGTCCCATCCGAGTCAGCCATACTCCCGCCATCCTTTGATTCCCGGACTCACGGAGTCTATTCGTCCAGGAATTGTTGACATTATGCTATAAGTAGTAATCGCAAAGTCTGAATACAAACTTCCCTGTGGCAATCATTTTGGCAGCAATTTTGAACGCTAGATGTTTAGAGTACTGAAATCGGAGTAGTTCTAAGTTCCCCTGTCACACTAATCATAGATCAGCTGACGTATATAAGTACTCTTTTGAGTAAGGTTTTATTCTTAATTGCTGTCGACCAAACTAGTGTACTATGGAAAAGTATGACCATTGTCGTGAAGATACAATAGAAAAGGATTACTATAGACCCCAGTTGCACAGAATGGAACCGCGGCTTACTCAGCCCCTCTCCTACGTTACTTCGTCAGTTGAGTTTGCTATCGAGATGTATGTACTTATTCCGAGACTCGGTCCATCTCGATTTGGCATAGACCAGACCGGATTCTAATATCTCCTAGGAAAGAATATTAAGTCTGTAATTTTCGTGTTGACGATAGCACATTCTTTGGTTGCCCAAAGGACTATGTAGGATACTGCTGGGCTTTTGAGTAAGTTAAGTATGGACAAACATTTCCTACTTACGGACGCAGTTGTCATCCTCATGGGCTTAAGTTCGGTGGGTGTTCTCTCTATTTTTTTAGTAGATTCTTGGTCATCAGCACAAAAGTAGTGCCAACAGTACGCTTTCTTGTGACATTTATCATAAATACAATAACAATAAATAAAATAGTTTCACTAAGTAAGTGACATTAAACGACTTTACTGTGATATTCTCTTTGTCACGATGCAGAGAAATAAAGACAGCACCGTTTGTATCGCTAAGTATCTGCTTGTCTACTCATGATCAGAATTCAACATTCCGTGAAGATCTGCCCTCTCTCAGTCAGTGCAATCTCTTATTTTATCCTTCTTGCCTCTTCAAATTATATCATAAGCGGCCGCTGGGATCGGTTCAAGCCAACATAAAAAATAAAAAACGAAAAAACTTTTTCTAATAGCGGTCACCCCTCGGCAGGCAATGGCAAACCACTGAGTGACATGAAAAACAGCTTCTCATAAATATACAATCGCCATTCGGAGGCGGCGTAAAACTATAGGTCCCTCCCCTTTTTGTGACAACATCAAGGCGCACGTCACAAATGAGAGGAGAAGCTCGGCCAAACACAAGCATATATATTTTGTAAGCGCACCTGGCGCTGCCCTTGATGTTCTTCTACACTTTACCATCGCTTTCCCCCTAGCGTGGAGAGGCATTATGGCCACCTGCAGGCTTTAAATAAATGGATTTTGGTATGATACAGTTTGGAGTGAAGCAGTAATCTAGACACAAGTGTCATTTCAATGCCTAAGGAGAGTACGCCACCATTACCTTTTAAAAATGAGGATATTATACAAGGTTGAGTAGTCTGAGGATGAATGCGGGCTTAATTTTAACATTCAGCTCGGACTCACGCACTATCGAACCTTCACTGATGGCTAGATGTGTGTGTATCAAAGATAATGAGGATGAGATTTACTTTTCTCTTGGGGAATAAGCAGAGGTATTTGCAATCCTCAAGGCCATGGACATCGTGGGGGAAACTAGGTGGAGATACAGGACAGCCATGTTGCCCTCAAGGAATTGGCCAGTCCTCTAACTACTTCCAGACTAGTTCGGCAATGCAAATCTCGACTAAATTATGTTGGGAAATATAACGAACTTGTCTTACTCTGGGTGCCGGGTCAATCGGAGGTACCTAGTAATGGGGTATCTGACCATTTGGCCAGAGAGGGCGCAGACCAGGTTTTCTCGCTCCGCATACAGTTAAAGCTCTCCCCCCTTCGTCCGCCAAAGTCACCGTCAGAAACTGGGTCCATATTTTCTCTCAGCAATGCACGCATTGTTTGGTAAATTTAGTTCCGAAAAAAAATGTATGACCTCTTTTGAACTAGTTGCAGCCTCTGCGGAGCAGATTGCTGCTACTAATCGAACATTGATCTACGAGACATGGTGCTAAAACTATATACATATGTATATTTAGTCACACCTGATATTCAATTAGATATTTTCGGCGATCGAACCAGGGACCTGCTGAACAATTCCTTGCGGCTTCATCCATGCGGTTAAAGTTTCTTTTTAAAATAAAGAGTTTCTTAATTGAAAGTATGTAATTTTTTCTAGTAAAACCAATGTTTCTTCATGTAAACACGATAAAAATCTCTGTGGCAAATTTCTCATCCCACATTTTCGTCTAGCAACTATTGATGGAAAGATTCATTTACATTTTTTAAGTAATGTTTTTCTTTGTGCGAGTGAATCTAGCTCTTAAGATGGTAGAATTTAGTTATATTTATACACAAACAAAGTCGGCTACTTTTGGCTTAAACAAATTATTTCATACGGCAGTTGAAAATTGCGTAGGTATGCGAAGTAGGAAAATTAAATAAGTAAACCGAACAAGAGACTTCGGCATCCATCTAATGCTGCATACTTACGAGCGCACTATTTGCTCACCTCGAAAATACGCAAATTTAGCAATGAGTGAAGAAGCAAGAAGCTTTTGAAAAGTTGAGAACCAACTTTAATGTCAAATAAGTAAAACTTATAAAAATCTCAAACTTTAATCACACAGATTACTAGCTTGTACTTGCAGAAAGCTAAAAATATATATGTCTTAGTGAATATCTTAGGTGTTATAGGAAATATGTAATTTCAGCTGGCGGAAATTTTCACATTAATGTCCTTCAGACAATTTTAAGTTTTTGCTGACTAAGAAATAATCTCCCGATCCAAACGAAAGTGTTGCAATATTTTTGGCAAATACTTATTCAACATTTCTCTTCTCGATATGTCGTAGAGATTTTACTTTTCTAAAAATTGAAACAAACATTGCAGACGACTTAAGTTGTCATCTCACTTAATTTTTTTATTTCATTTCATTCACCTCAGGGATGTGTACTATTTGCATTCCACAGATTTGTCTTGGCAACGTCAACAACAAAGCAACGACGACGTGGGCCCACTTAACTGCGCGCATTCATGGTGAGCCGCATAAAGGTCCTACATCACACGTGTATGTATGTATGTACATAACGGGTGATTTTTTTGAGGTTAGGATTTTCATGCATTAGTATTTG